GTCAGTAGCCCTACTATATACAGATGATAAAAGGGCTGAAAGAGAAATCAGAGAAACATCACCCTTTACAATTGCCACAAACAACATAAAATAACTTGGGGTAACGCTAACCAAACAAGTGAAAGACCTGTATCGTAAGAACTTTGAATCTTTAAAGAAAGAAATTAAAGAAGCCCTCAGAAAATGGAAAGATCTCCCAAGTTCTTGGATAGGTAGGATCAATGTAGTAAATATGGCAATCCTGCCAAAAGCAATCTACAGATTCAATGCTATCCCCATTAAAATCCCAGCACAATTCTTCACAGACCTTGAAAGAACAATAATCAATTTTGTATGGAAAAACAAAAGACCCAGGATAGCCAAAACAACCCTGTTCAACAAGGCAACGTCCGGAGGCATCACTATCCCTGACCTCAAGCTCTATTATAGAGCTATAGTCCTGAAAACAGCTTGGTATTGGCACAAAAATAGACAGGCAGACCAATGGAATCGAATTGAAAATCCGGGTATTAACCCATACACGTACGAACATCTAATCTTTGACAAAGAAGCTAAAAATATACAATGGAATAAAGAAAGCATCTTCAACAAATGGTGCTGGCATAATTGGAGACTGGCATGTAGAAAAATGCCGATCGATCCATGTTTATCGCCATGCACAAAACTTAAGTCCAAATGGATCAAAGACCTCAAAATAAATCCAGCCACACTGAACCTCTTAGAAGAGAAAGTGGGTGGTGCCCTTGAACGAATTGGTACAGGAGACAGCTTCCTGAACATAACACCAATAGCACAGACAGTGAGATCAACAATTAATAAATGGGACCTACTGAAACTGAGAAGCTTCTGTTAGGCAAAGGACACAGTCAGCAAGACAAAAAGGCAGCCCACAGAATGGGAAAAAATATTCACTAATCCCACATCTGACAGAGGGTTGATCTCCAAAATTTACAAAGAACTCAAGAAGCAAGTCTCCAAAACAGCAAAGGGCCCAATTAAGAAGTGGGCTGTCAGAATGGCTAAAATCAAAAACACCAATGACAATTTATGCTGGAGAGGATGTGGTGAAAGGGGGACACTCCTCCATTGCTGGTGGGAGTGCCAACTGGTTCAGCCACTTTGGAAATCAGTATGGAGATTCCTCAGAAAAATGGGAATAAACCTACCACAAGACCCAGCAACTGCACTCTTAGGCATATATCCAAAAGATGCCCATTCATATAACAAAGATGTCTGTTCCACTATGTTCATAGCAGCTTTATTTGTAATAGCCAGAACTTGGAAGCAACCTAGATGTCCCTCACCCGAAGAATGGATAGAGAAAATGTGGTACATCTACACAATGGAGTACTATTCAGCAGAAAAAAATAATGGAATCATGAGATTCGCAGGCAAATGGATGACACTAGAAGAAACCATCCTGAGTGAGGTAACCCAGTCACAAAAAGAGAAACATGGCATGTACTCTTTCATATATGGATTTTAGACATAGATCTGGAGAGTGCCAGCCTACAATCCTATTGCCAGAGAGTCTGGGAAACAGAAATTTCATTTACTGGCTGGTTAAGTACTGAGCTGAACTCAAGAAAGCCAGTATCAGAGAGGGAGGACTGATGATCAAAGGGATTAAGACTGGGCTGGTTGAACCCCCAGAAACAGCTGACCAGACAATGGTTAACTCTTGAATCCCAGGCATCAGCCTAGGAATCCAGCATGGGACTGATCAAGAGCCCCTGAATCTGGGTGTCAGTGAGGAGGCCTAGGTAATCTATTGAGCCTTGGACAGCAGATCAGTACCCATCCCAAGTATACACACGGTCTCTGGACTCCCATAGAACAATGTGAGGTGCACTCTCACCCTGAAATCTTGGGGAAGGGTATAGGCCCTGCCCTATATGAAATGACAGACTATGGACACCCCCATGGAGGGCCTCACCCTCCCTGGGGGAACGAGGTGATAACGGGGGGGGGATGGGGGGAGGGCACGTGAGGAGGGGAGGGAAAGGGAGAGGGACCTCGTACTGACTTGTGAAGCAACCTTGTTTCTTATCTAAATTTAAAATGGAAAATAAAAAAAATATTAATACAAAAAAGAATATTACAGGCTTCCACACATACAAAAGAGAAGAACATCATCAGATAACATATGAGGTCTATAAAAACAACTTCATTTTTATCCATCAATGTATTTTACACTTACCTTGATTTGGTAATTTATTTTTTCCTCAAATCTATAAAGCTTCATGAAACTATTTTTCATTGGGACATGGAATTTGGAATAGCATAAATGTGTATTCATGGGCCATGGTCACATAAAATGGTTCCTGAAAAAATTCTTTTATATAAGATGAGAGCAGTTATTTTTGCATCATCATCACATTGAAGTATCATGTTTTGCTCGCGTGCTTTTACTCAACCATGTCGCCTATCTGCATATCCCTGAAGTAGGTAGACACTAGTACATATAGGTTAATATGGGATTTCTCTCAGCTATGTTACGTTCAAATCTAGTGCAGATAGTTCCTCCGTATTGCTGTGGAAGTCACAATCTTCATCATAGTTACAAAAAGTGTTCCACCTTTAACAGTGAAGTGGCATTTCCTTTTTGTGTAGGTGCCCCTAGTAACCTCTTTAGGTTTCTTACAACCTAACCCAATTATCTACCACCATAACGCACTTGCGAAATAATCTTTCTTTAATCAGTATGCTAACTTCATGGAGGTTTCTTATTTACCTATTACTGTGTATATAGAATGATAGGAGGTAATTATTTCCCAGGAGTGAAAAATTTTAGATGTCACAAACAAGTCTCTACCCTTCAACGAAGTCTACCAGTGTTTTTAAACATGAGAATTTTTCACATACTGACTCCTAAAGCCCTTAACATCACCCTCCCATTCAAAAGTGAGGACTCTCTTTCTTTAAGGATTATTGTCTCTATCCTATTTCCCCAAAACAGATTTGAATAAAGCTATCTCCTCAACCACTGACTCTATCCAGATATGATTTAGGAGAGGCAGCAGATAGTAGTACCTCCAGTCCCTGAAGCATATCTGCTTTGCCTTTTTGGAGAGTTATCCAACGTCTAGCTTCCGTCTGAGTTATGTTTCCAAATTCCCACATCAACAAACTAAGAAACCATGAAAATCATCTTGACATTGTCAATATAAGCACCATTAAAGTGGCCAAGGCAAAAGTATTGTGAGAGCCAAAGTTATGTTTTAAGTTTTAATCTTTGTCCCTAAGATATCCATAAAACATAAATATCTCTAATGTATAAACCCCTTGCCCAAGGACTGATATGTTCAAGATGCTTGAAGCTGTTGTTCAAAAAAGATAATAAGCTACATTTCTACTCCCCAAAACAGGTTTGGTTGACCAAGCTGTACTGGATGTGCTTGATCATATGTAGGTGGGAGGTTTGAAGACAAGAAATACATTGAGATATATGCTTGCCTTTGATTAGACCTGGTGATAAATATCTAGACTTGTGGGTCTGCCTTTGCAAGCCTCTGGAAGATGTGACCCACTGTCACAATTTTATGGGAACTCCAGAATATACCAGAGCAGAGTGCATCATCCTTGCAAGCATTTACATAAAACTTGCTTCAAATTTGTCTCAAAATCTGTGGTAGTGGCCCTATTCTTGACTGGTAGGATTAATATTTTATGGAGAACCTATACAGGTTAAGAGCAAGCACCTGAATTCTGAAGTTTGATTTTTCTCTCCACGTCTCCAGATGGAGGATATACCTCAGGAAGCATATATCTTCAGATGTTTCAAGACTCTGAGGTTGACTTCAGTTTTATGGACTCTCAGTGAATGCCACACTGAGGAAAGCAACAATCATCAACAGGGGCTTCCCAGTGAATCATAGTCTGCTTTTGTTTTGTGGGACCCGAAAGTTGGATTGGGATACTTAAAAGTTGGATGTTGAGAGGATTAGACCAGACCCCAACATTTTCCCATTCACATCAAATAGCAAGATATCATCTTGTTCTTATTGATTGGAAAGTTTTTTCTGTCTGTTTCATGAATAATTTTTTTCTGTTTTGTTTGTCTAGAGGGGTCTGTGCTTTATGGTGATTCTGTAAGTTTTGTTTAGAACATGGAGTTGAGCAAGAAATTAGCCAAGATCTGTTGAAAGCATGAATATATGGTGGCCACCACATATATTTTCTCTGATTGCCCTTCTTTGATTGTGTAATCTTACTTTGTTCTGTGTTTCTTCATTATACTTTTGAATATTTAAAAATTTCCTCTATGTCCTGTAGGATTAGTAATATTACTACACAAATATCCATCATGAACCTTATTTTTCAATTTTACATTTTAAGTTCATTTAAGCAAAAACTTTTCATATATTTTTAATTAATTTTTATTTAAATTAAAAACAATCTCATTTAACATTCCAATATTACTACCCTCCCCTTCAGTCCTCCCATTGCCCCCAGCTTCTCCTGGGTAGAAAGGACTTTACCCGTTCATCCAGGTTTAAAATTGCTCAAGACATATTACTTACGAAAAAAATACTATAAAGACATGCTTTAGGTGATTGCATGCTCATTGGAATACTGACATCAAATGCAATTTTCACACAATTAGTAAAGTACTATGTGAGATCTTTTCAAAATGTAAGTGCACTACTGACAGAGTTCTAGTAAGGGCAGAGGCATTTCTCAAAGTGTATCATGTGCACAGCATGACTAAGCCAATTAACTACATATTACCCTGGAAACACAGGGTTTGACACAGAGCAGGAAAAGCTCTAACATAGTAGTATTGACTCGCTAAGAGCAATACTTGTGGAGTGTTCCACAAATGGTGAGAACAATGCCTGCCAAGTGGCACAGGATTTGATAAAATGTGGTTAGAGTGCTTGGAACAGGGTGTGAACAATGCTAACATATTTTGCACACTGTAAGAGACAGGTTTCACAATAAGTTTGGCATAAAATAGAAACATTTCTGCAGGACACTTCAGTGTTTGAAATGGTCTTTTCATTTGAGGTACACTTGTGAATGTTGTTGCTTAGAGTTCCAGACATGTGCCCATGATGCCCAATGCCCTCCATCTTCTTCCCATCATCAGGTTCATTCAAACATCTAGGGCTGACAGAAAGATAAGAAAACACAAATGTCATTGAGTCCTCAGTGATCTGTCATCACCAATTGCTCCTGCCCTGTAAATTGTGTGGACTCCCCTGCTATAAAAGTTCAAATCAATTCCATCTACAAGTGAATCCTGTTCTCAGGTAACAGTGACTACCACCCCTCGCATAGAAGGAGAGAAACATATGGCCTACATATTGATATGTAACCTGGAGTTTGAAAAAACCCTGTACTATGGGTAGATGAGATTGTCCCAAATCAGAACAGGTTAGAGAATGCATGTGAAATTTCTCTAGGCTTCGTTGTTGAAACTCAAAGGATTAGAGCAGGCAAATGATGTAGGGAACCAAAGAACCAGATGACATCCCAGTCTCAGGGGAGAAAGACAAATTTTTAGACACATACTTTGTGGGGAGAGGAGTGTGTCAGTTGGTGCCTTACATGTTTAATCATTTTCTTCTTCAGGTTCATTGATCTCATCACGTGTCGGGAGTTGCTTGCTTTCTGGCAACACACAGTCCTTGATACCGTCATACTTCCTCCTGGATCCTGATGTGGGCAAGATATGTCCCATGAGCACTGTGTCAGCTGAGAAATTTTCTACCAAGTTTTGTCAGGATGACAGAGACCTGGACCCTCAAGTGTATATTTGGGCCTTGTTCATGTTCTGGTTTGCACATCTTCTCACTCAGGAGATTGTACACAAACCAGATCAGAATAAGAGCCAGTTCTTGCTTCATCTTGTGATCTCAGCAACTGTCACAAGTAGATTCCACAACTCTTCCTTCCCAAGGGCATCTCCCCATGTGCTCCACTTCATTCTGAAGTATCAGGTATTGTTATGTAAACTGGTCATCCCAGTGCACCCAGGGCTAGTGCAGGGCCCATGCCACATAACCACTCCACACTGTAGAACAGAGACAGGGAAGACAGAGTGATGTTTCCACATGTATTCTTCTTACCTGATGGCTTCTTACAATGCCTCTCACAGATCAGTGGTATGCCATGGGGAAACAGGTTCTTCTGAGATTGACCTGAGCCACAGGTACCTAGTAGTCTTTTGGGCTTGTCTTCTGGCTTCTTCTCTGCATGCAAATTGTGTACATGTACTCAGTGTTGGAGGCATCTCTGTTTTGCTTTTTTGAGGACATAGTGTTTACTCTTGCATTACATTTACACACTCTACCACTATATGCAGGACATCATTACATCATGTTTGCTTAAATTATGAGGAACCTACAAACTTAAAGGGAAAAGAATGATCTAAACTAATCGGGTTTGTGGGACTACAATGCATGTCTTTCGCATCTTCCCAGAATGACATTCCTGTAAGCAGAAAATGTGTGCATGTAAATGGGAGTATGGGAAACAGATGGTTCATGGAAGAAACAATTTGAAGAATCCACAGGATCTGTGCAGGCACAGTTTCTGTGAAATCAAAATCTTGTAACACTGGGCAGTGACTTGGAGCAAAATTTTACAGAACAGAGGGCTTGAGAGAATGATGGACCTGGATATTGAAAGGAAGTAAATGGAAGGAAAGGAGAAGAAATAATAAGCAACATAGAGTGATCTAGGCATAAAACAAGGAGGTGACGCCTGGCCTAATTCTCTCTAGCACAATCCACGTGTGTGGTGGTTTGTGTGGGAATGGTTTCAACTGGGTCATATTTTTTGAGGTTCTGGGGTAGTTTGAAACAACATCACTTTCTTTGGGTGTGAAAGCATTAGGAGTTGTGGTTTTATTTAGACTAGGAATGAACTTGGAGGAACTCTCTTACTCTGGGCCTGGACATCTAGGACTCCTATGCTCAAGCTATACTTACTGTGGAACACCATTGCTTCTTCTGCCTGCAGAATAAGATGTGGAACTCTCTGCTCCTTCCTCAGCATGATGTCTGCCTAAATTGCCCTAAGCCACCTGCCATTGCAATAGTGGACTAAACCTCTGAACTGTGAGCTAGCCCAAATTAAGTGTTTTCCTTCAAAAGTGTTGCGATGGATGTTTTGTCTCTTCATAACAACAGAAATCCTATAAGACAAGTTCTGAGTTTTTGAACAGTTTAGGAAGAATGGGGAGCTGTGGCCTCATTGGAGATGCTATGTCACTACGAGTAGGATTTGAGGTTTCAAAGCAGATGTGAACTTTCAGATATTGCTCCAGGACCAATCCTACATGGTTTCAACAGAATTTACACCATGATTATGTAATGATCTTCTGAACATGTAAACAAGCCACCAATTAAAACTTTTTGTATTAAATCCCCGTAGTCATAGTGTCTCTTTACAGCAACAGAATGGTAACTAATAATCTGTGGAAATAGGAAAGATGGAAGCTTCACCAATTCTTATTCCCTTATTGGTCTTCCATACATGGAGTCGAGAATCCATGTACCCCCAGCTGAAAGAAAGCAGTTTCTGCGCTTCTAAATGCCCTTAGTTGTTTCTGTTCCTTGTTTGTTTTTGTTTCTGAGATACCATATCCCTCTGTAGCTCAGAAAGGTCTTGGTTTCAGGATACCAGAGACCTGAGTTCGTTAACCTGCCTCAGCATAGACACATGCTGACAAAGTTTAAATGGTACAGTAATAAAAATTTTGAGGGAGGAGAGATGACCAAATGAAACAAAACGGATCAGGAGAAACAGTTGACCTGAACAAATGAGACCACACATACCCTAGTCATAAAGCGGGGGAACCAGCATTCGACCAAACCAAGCACTCTGAATGTGGGTACCAGTGAAAATGACAAGGCAGTCTATGGAAAGTCTAACAGTGGGGTCAGAGTTTATTCCTAGGTCTCAAATGGAATTTGGGAGCCCATTCCCTATAGAGGGATACTATTGCAGCCCAGATGTGGAATGGAGGGTCTGAGCCTTCCACAAAATTATGTGAAGGACTTTGATGATTCCTTGTGGATGGTCTCACTATACCTGCGGAGTGGGTGGTAGGGGGGTTAGAGGATCCATGGGGTGCATGGGAGGGTTGGAGGGCATGGGAAGGTGGGATGTACATGTAAACAAGAGTGCTTCAAAAATGAAAACAAACATTGGAATATTCTCTCTCATGGTACCTTACTTTTATTTTGAAATTCAACTGTGTCCTCTTACCACAAACTACCAAATATCTTACACATCTACATCACAGTGTAATCTACAACTGTAGTAGCTCCCATTTCATAAGAAATCATGGAAATGTACTGTTCCTCTGGGACCAGACTGTGAGTCAGGCAGCTCCCAGTTGCATACAATTATTGAAAGAGATCACATCTGGATGTTACAAAGTTAAAGCCA